AACTAGTTTTAATTAAGAAAGGACTTGTATCGCTGAAGTTCCTCGGAAAGAATTTATACCAGAAATTAACAAACGAGCAGAAACGTAACAATATATTTAAAAAGTATTCCTCTTTTATTTAATTTTTAAAAAGACTATTTATAAACACAGATATAAAAACAGTTCCTTAAACACCAAAATTCAGAAAGGAAGGTAAAGGTTATGTGATGTTTGTGCATGATCCAAATAAATGTCACAATCACAATAAAATATTTGAGTTGAAAAATGTGTGTATTCTGCCATAAGTACAAACTCAAACCTACTACTCATGAGTTCATGAACTAATTAGGGAGTAATACTACATTAACAGTTAAGGGGTGTTAATTATATGAACAACATATTTCTCTTCTTTCTTAAGATTTGGAAATTACTCAGAATACAGTACTCTAAAATATTCAACACCAATTCTGATTTTACAAAGTTACATGACACAAAATGTCCTTAGAGGCCCAATCTTTTGAATGGTTTAATAGTAATGGTTCCTGACTAATGTTCTCTTCAAGAGGTTTTGGAGTAGGAGGTAGAGTGACATCAATTGGTTCAGCTGTTGGCTGATGTTATCCCAACCTTGTCACCAATTATGTAATGTTCGTTTATGATCCAAATTAATGTCACAATCACACAATAAAATATTCAAGATGAAAAACGTGTATTCTGCCATAATTTCAAATTCAACCCTACTACTCACAACACCTCGCAAGTACATGAACTAATTAGGGAGTAGTACTAAATTAATAGTTAGGGGGTTAATTATATGAACATCATAGGTTATTTAGTTTATAAGAATATTCGGTGTCCAATTAACCCCTTTCATAACCTCCAAGGAGTTATATTTATTTTTCCATTCAGTATCTCGATTTAAAAAAACAAAAAAACAAGAGCATAAGCTTGTAGAGAAGAAATATGGAGAAAAATACATAAAAAAAAACACAAATGAAGTTCAAGTTACTTTTCAAACTCCACTTCTTACTGAAGTATATATTTCTACATAAGGATCATGAATTATTTGTATATCTGACAATGTAAACTTTGTTACCCACAAAGTAATTGAAACAAAACTGAAAGTTGATAAAATTATGGACTGTAATGGTAAAGTATAAACTGCCTACTTGGTGGAGGAAGGCAAGTTCTTTCAATAAGCAGTTCAGGAATGTGCCACCTTTGCATGCCTTCATCCCATGTGCTGTCCAACTTAACTTTGTCTAGGTTTGAATAATTGCAGTCCCATCGAATACAAGGCTGAACTTTATCCAGCAGTTGTTGAAAAAATTGTATTTGCCTATCTTGTCTTCTAATAGTTTCTAAGTAGTCAGTCCGATCTTCTTCAAACTCACTGTGTAAGTCACTGATCTCCCTTTCAAGAACTCTTATCTAAGTTTGAAAGATATAAGACACACATATTTAACATGTATATATAATATACACATACATGTAATATGCAAAAGTACTTTAGTTCTGACAAAAACTACCAGGAGGAGGTACAGGAATTTATTCTCTACATGATAATAATGTCTTCTCATTACAGTTTTTAAATATCTCTCTCTTAGCAAATTATGTAACTTGAGCTTACATATAGTTTTATTTCTCAAACTTGTAAACAGAAAAATGCACACACTTACGTACAAGTGCATTTCATACTAACACATCCAATGAACATGAAAGTTATATAATTTCTTTTAATGAGAACAAAGAAAGAAAATATACACAAGGTAACATAAAGGTTACTTGCTTCAAATAAAAAAGAATAATTATCTTGCATTTTGATTTGGCACGTATTATATGTAGAAACATCACTTCCATTCTTATACATCTGTGCAATATTCAGTAAAGTTTTTGATATGTGTAAAGAAAATTTGAAGTTTGACAATCATTTGATGCAATGAAACTTTGAAAGCTAAAGGTAGCAAGAAGAGTAACACATTTTGCATATGTTAAAATGTTTACCATACTATAAATACACTTTTAACTAAACACTAAGTATCAATAAAGTGTTAAATCTTTACACATATACGCATGAAAGTTTCTCTCTCTCTGTGGGTCTGTTCCTTACGCACGGCCACGTCTTTAGAGCTACAAATGCCAAACTCGGGTTATAGATACAACTTTGTGTGGGAAGTGACATGAGCTATGTGGCCACAGCCTCAGAGGCCACAAATTGAGGCCAAAGTAATCAATATAGCAAATTTTGGCAAACAAGACCACCAACTGGTCTCAAATTGAAAAGGCCGTATCTTTTGGTAATGTATTATCAAGAGGGCTATTATTTATGTTTTTTCTCTGTGTGAGGACTTCTCCTAATCATTCTATCCAGGATCAATTATGTGTTAAAATGATTTAAAAACTTCGTGGAGCCTACATTTGCGTTATTTCCACACCCTCTCTCTTTCTTCTACACATACATGCCTACTCTCTAACTCCCCTTGACTGAAAAAGTCTGGTGCTTTCCCATGAACATACACGTACACTCCCTCAACTAAATAGGCTTGCTTCAGCTCTATCTTTTGCTTTCCTTGCATGTACTCGCAAGAATCAGCTATATGATAACTTTACAAAAACGTCTGGTATCAGCAAATTTTCATTTACGTTGTGTTGCAATGAGAAGAGAATAAATCAAGTCTTCATTAAATGGAATAATAACAAAGTCAAAATATGCTGCAAACAACACTTGATCATACAGCAGAAATGAGGACACCAAAAGGTAGGGAATTTTGTTTTAGAAACTTGAAATGTCATGCAAAGAACATGTGCAAGAAGGAGGAGAAATTACATGGTTTTGCTTTGATTAAAATAGCTTTAACAAATTTGTATTTTTTTTGCACAGTTATTTTTATTGATTTTAATCAAAATATTTATTTAGGTAAAGAAATCATTTTCACTTTTTGGCAAAAAAATCATGATTAATATGGTTGATTTAATCAAAACAACTCAGGATATTTAAAGACATTTTCATCCGAGCAATACTGGGAACTCTGCTAGTTAGATATATAAAACTTTAAGCTTATGGCAACATAAAAGGGGTTTAAACCCAACCAACTAAAGTAATAGTCTTAGAACAACTACCAGGAAAACTCCTGAAAATCAGCAAATTAAAATGTTGAGGTAATGAAAGAGTTTTCACTAAAACAAAATAAAATACTATCTCTTTTCTGCTATAACTCTCAAATTATACCAATTTGTTCACATTTATTTTAACATGGATTCACAAGCATTTTTGTGCAAAAAGTTTTGTAAAATGTGTTTAAAAATCCTGTATGGATTCTATCAGTAATTCTAGGAGAATGTTGCACTTGAGTGTACACAAACTCACCTTTATTCTACTGGATTATATACTGATTACTAAGATGTAAATACTTCGTAAGAACTGAGTTACAATGTTTTATTGTGTTTAAAAATCCTGTATGGGTTCTATCAGTAATTCTAGGGGAATGTTGCACTTGAGTGTACACAAACTCACCTTTATTTTACTGGATTATATACTGATTACTAAGATGTAAATACTTTGTAAGAAATTGAGTTACAACGTTTTATCGTATAGATGAAATAACTTACTCTTTGTTTTGCTTTCTTCACAAGAACAGTCTTGGCTTTTAATTCATCATGAATGTCATCATAAACTTTCAGCATTATACCATCATCATTATCCAGGTTAGACAAAGCCTCTAAAGTAAAAAAAAAAATGTCTTTCTTTCATTTAATCAAACCAGAGCTAAAGTAAATGTTTGAGTTGTTTAAATAAAATGCAACAGAAAAAAAAAAAGATTAATCTTCCAAAGAATAAAGCCTAATATATTTGCTGTTTATGCTGAACTAGAATTTTCATTAACTTTATCAATATAAAGTGTTAAGTCACAACTAAGTCTATTACATGCATCCTCACAAGATTCTTCCTTCAGCTGACTACAACATAATGCATGTCCTCAAACAATATACCAAATAATACAATTTTCATAAAAAAAAGTTAAGGAATTTATATATTGTTGCGTCAGCGCAGTCACGTGACTAGTATCACGCCACCTATTTTCTAGATATATCCTGTTCCTTCGTGAATGCCCTAGCATTTACTAGATTGGGGGTAGTTTGGTATATATAAGATGGTCACAATGTGATGGGACAATGTGTAGTAGTGAATAATTGAACTGAGTATTGTCGAGCACGAGCTCGTGAGAATTATAGCGTTTGTTACAGAGCGACTGTTGAAGTTGAGTGTATCGTAAAGTTGTATTCGGAAAGAATAAACCAGTTTTATTTAAGAAAGGACTTGTGTCGCTAAAGTTTCGTCGGAACGAATTTACGGAAAATCAATTAACGAATGGAGACGTAACAATATCTATAGATATATGTTTGTGTGAAACAAGTTAATATAAGCAATTCAGAAACTGCAAACCTTTAATATGTTTAATTTGTTTTTCTGCATAATTTCTCTTTTTTGCTCGTTTTTCCTTCAAAACTTTGTCATTAGCTCTTTCTCCTCCAACCATCTGTTCCTGCAACTTGCGTAACCTGAAAAATACCAATTTACTTCCTGTTAAAAGCAACATTTATAAATATAAAGAGGCTTGAATATGTTATATTAAAATGATTTTAAAGATGTAATTCGGTATTTATGAGACAACCACAGTCAGCATAGAATTGTGCTGGAATGGCATGTATCAAAACTACACATTGACAAATAGTGTGATGTCACCTAAGACTGATCTCTTTTGGGAAGGATATGTAACAGCCCTTTCTGATGCAAAATATTCATACATTCAAACTATAAAGATGTGATTTGGTTGGAATGTAGAATTTCCAAGACAGGAATATCTCTTGTACTTAATTGACACTGGAAAACAAAGGAATTTTTTTCAAATTGGGATACCAAGTTAAATAAAAATGAAAATAAATATAGTATCTTGTTCTTGAGATGCAGAGTAGCTAAAATATTTTCATACTATTTGGCAAACAACTGCAGTAACAATGTAATCACTTTTGGTACTGATTAATTCAAATTTTCATAACTCTAAAATGTAAGAAAAAAAGATGGGTTTGAAATACCAGTAAAACAATATAGATGTATAAACGTTAACTTCTGATCAAAGCAAGCTAATATACTAGTCTAATTAGGGTTAATCAATTAATTATGAAATGCTGTAAAACCTTAAAAAAACTTATAATGATCAGAATGCATTGAGTCATCAGTTAAATACCCTTTTGTTAACAATATGTTTGGCTGCAATTCCATTAATATCTCATGAGATTTGAGTTAGTCTTAAATCCATATACTTAGGTAACAATGCAAAAGTTATAATTTTCCTAAATGAAAATGTATTTCTGATAGGTACTTCACTCTTCTCACAACATTAGCTTTTCTCATTTTGTGCTGCCCTCTATATGCAAACTTTTTTCAGAAATGCATGCCACAAGCCGTCATCCTCCCGCAACACGTCTCTTGTGCAAATCATCATGTTTCACCAATAGGAAAGCACTACTATCACATGATGCATGTGACTCCCTCTACATGCCACTACATAACTATCACTTCATAGTTTGGCAGAAGATGCATACACTGGAAAGTTGTGGATAGGAGGGGTGGGAAGTGTGAGGGGAGAGAAGTACCATCGGAAGTACATTTTCATTTAGAAAAATTATAACTTCCGATAAGGTACTCTTCCTCCAACCACAAGATTAGCTTGAATCCCACATTGAAATGGAGGAAGGACTGGTACGAGGGAAGCACAGGCATATCTCCCAGAAGCATCCAGAAGACACCCTCAAATTGAGAGTAACAGATCAGATGATCTGAGGAGGGGTACCGCACCACATCTGCGCCAGGTATCTCTTTGCCAGGAACATCAACATGATCAGGAGGACCAGACATGGCAGAACATTAAAGGGAGCACATCTGAGTGGGACAGGATAGTTTAGCAATGTGATCATAAGTAGAAATCATAATCACTCAATCCCACAATGGAAAGTGGGCAAGTGAGAATGTGTCCTATGGTGTAGAGTGGCAAGGGTGTGATGAACCATACTTGGTAAGTCTACTACATCCAAAACCTCACTTGCTGGGAACTGACATCCTCGAGGGTAGGGATAGGATCATACTGTCTTCACCTCAAGTCTCAGAGTCAAGAGTGAAACAACATTTGACTCCAGGAACTCACAGGGTAGCCTAATGCTAGGAATCTGGGAATGTATCATCCGGAATCCGAAGGAAGTTCATCGCATGCACTCAACCCCCATGACTGTGAAACCAGCCCGAAATGACCCAAGTTTGGTAATAATCTCGTCACCCAACAAGGGAAAATCCAGGACAGAAGCAGAAACATGCCATATAGATCTTCCACGACCAACAACTCAGAAGACAAATCGAGAGGAGAAGATGGAAAACCCAAAACCTGTTTGAGGTCTTATGTGATTAGTTCACTTGTTCTCGAAAACCTCACATGCTGTGTACCGACATCCATGTGAGGGTAGGAGGAAGGCACCCAATCAGAGGGGTGAACTACATTTGGGCATCTCAACTCAGGGAGTTGGATTTTGTAACTACCTCTACACCAGCAGAACACCACCACCCTACTCTGAACTGAATGGTTATAGCCATAGTTGTGGAACCCATCCAGCAGGTTGCCTCCATGGTCAACCACCCCAGCAGCTTGGAACTGGTAAGTGGTAAGGACTCCCATACTCCACTGGAAAAAGGGGAGGAAAAGTGTGGTAGAGAATCCGGAGGGTCTGCAACACCCGAGACAGAGCAATGGGTGATCATAAAACCCTATTTTGAAAAGCAGACCACACTAATTTGTTCAATTTAGGCATGGCTGGGATGGACAGCAATCCCCTTCTGCTTTACCAATACCATCAATGGGTGGTAAGCTCTGAGACGGGCACAGTATCATGAGGATTTACATTCTAGTAATGGGTGAGCGTACATAGCCATGGAAAATGTATAAGAATCAACATGACTTATAGTGCAGATTTGATATCAAGATGTCTGCGAATCATTATAGCCACCTAAGTGGAACCCATTCCGAGTACAGAGAGAATACCTGGTCAGGCACCACTTGTCACAGAGTGGGATCCAAAGTGAAGCTGAAGTAGGGGCCTCTGAAAGAAAAGAAAGCATTAATGAGTGCTTACCTCATGTCACAGCTGTCACAAGTGGCAGGCAATACCCTGAGGAAGCAGAAACAGTGATGTAGTATAGGTAGTGGGAGATGAATGTGTGCGGAGTCATCCACATGCCTGATTGTAGAATCTCTTCCAATGGCCGACAAAGACGAGAGGCAAGGGAGAAGGTAAGGTGACGGATTTGATGTGAAGAAATATGAAAGGGATCACACAGGAAAGGAGACAAGGAGAAATAGGTCAACTGGATAAAAAGGCAGGAACGAGTACCTAAGAAGGAAGTCATGCGAGCAATAGAACAAAAAAAACAACAGACAGGACAGAGGAGTCTATCTGGATCAGGATAAGGGTAGAGATGAGATATAGAAGATAGGCAGATAGGGGAAAAAGAGAACTTACCTTATAGATCCACAGAGGTTTTGAGAAGGAAAGCACGATCTGGATAAAGGATAAGGTAGGAGGAGCAGTACTAGGTTCTGGTAACATCGAGGATGAAAATATCTGACCTATGATGCCCACAGGCCAGGAAAAGGAGGAAATATGCCTTCAAAGATAGGTAAAACAGGGAACACATAGACAGAGGTTCAAATGCAGGTAAAGTGAGGGCATGAAGAACCACATAATGTCCCAGTCAGGGAGTGATTGACACCTCAGCAGCTGATGGAGCCAGAAGGAATGGGTCAATATGGAAAGGACAGGGGAAGTAAAGACCTTACGGAAGTGGGAAAAATTGAATGTATGGGATAACATCACCCAAAACCCTGAACTCGAAGAGACTGAAGAACCCATCTCAAAGAGCCATGTGAGAAACTCGGAAATACAGCCAACTATTGGGTGTGAAGCCTGAAAACCCCGATCAATGCCCAGGAGGGATAAATGCTCCATTTGCATTGATAGATGGCTAAAGAAGAAGGGCGAATGGAACAGGCTAAATGTGAAGCTACTCTGCAAGAGAACTTCTTGCCAAGGACTTGATAGAAGCCAGGCATGAAGACAGAAAATAGATGGCACAGGATAGAGCATTGGTGATTGGAGTTGATGGAGCAGGTCGAGAAGGAAGGGGAGGGACCACCTGCAGTTGGAGAAACAGAGGAAACCAAGGTTGATCTGGCCAGTAAGGAGCAATCAGAAGGACCTGCATGGAGTGGCAAGGATGAGGGAGACCATTAGATGAAGTAAACATAAAAGAACCCATTAAAGAAACCACATATGGGTCCTGCCCAGGAGTAGGAGAGGGGTCAAGGAGAATCACATCCTGAAAAGAGATAGAACCTCGCAAGCTGTAAGTGAGGGAACAGACAGGGCTTTTCGAATATCCCATTCCACAGAATGGAGCTGGAGAGGAGAAGGTTGGGTCTTGAAGAAAACACCCAAATGGATAAGGTATTGGGTAGGTCAAAGGAATGACTTCACCAATTTGACCAGCCAGCCCACCCATACAACTTCAGCCAGGAACAGATGAGTGTGACAGGCCGTTTCCCATTCGGAATGAGCAAGAAGTTAAGTAAGAAAGAAAGTTAGTGAAAGTATAAATGAAGTTAGACTGTGTGATTTTCAGTTTAGCTGTAATGGGCGATTTCTAAAGTGAAAATTTCACAGCTTGTATTGCAATAACAGAGATAGAGAATAATAATTCATCATGTCATTTGGGTTCTAAAGTAACTGAACCAATAAACATGGAAGAGCAACCACATGACATGAATATGTTGAGCAAAGGAGTGGACCACACGACAAAACAGGTATGGTGCTGAGGCTAGGCCTAAAGATAAGGCATGAAACTAGTACACAACCCCCAAATGAACGGGAATGCTCCAAAGACCTGGAGAAAATGCCCATCGAATAGAAAGGTATCTCTCCTTGGTACAGTGAGGAGTGTGAACATACTAATTGAGACGGGATAAATTGATAAAAGGATGCCAGTCCTCGGTCTTCTTGGGAACCACAAACAGGTGGGAGTAAAACCCCTGCAAACCTGGTGAGCTGGTTCGAAAGCCTGTTGTGCGATAAGGTCCTGAACTGCCTCTGATAGATGCCGGTGTGTTGAGAGATCCTGAGGAGAAGGGAAGGGAATGGGAACAATAGATAAAGGAGGAAGGGAGAGAAAGGGGATAATGAATCCCTTCAAGAGCACCATGTGAACCTAGCCTTGATGCAGTTTTGGTGCAGACCCATCTCCAGGCTCCTTATCTGAGGGACCTCCGCATGGTGCGATTTTGACTCGGTTCCTGAGTTTTTGCAGTCATGGGTGGCCTCGGTCCATCGACATTCTATCCTTACTGACTTGGGAACTCGTTTGTCACAGGCCAACCTTCCCAACCTCTTCCTGTCCCACCCTCCCGCGGTGCCACAGTTTGGCAATTTACTCGATGATGCACGATCTGCCAACAGCAGTACCAGTGACTATGTGGTCTGTTTGGGCCCAGTGGGGGCTTATCTATTGAATTTCGTTCATATGTGGGGACCTTTTCTCGCCGATTTCCCAAGAAGTCCCAACAACAAACTACATTTGAACAGTGAGAGCCAAAGACAACAGACGAGCCAACATAGAAGTAAGGATGAGGAGGATTTCAGTAGAATTCCCCCTCAGGGTTCCTGTGAAGAGCCTCTGACAGAAGGTGAAAGGAAGAAAGGTACATGAACAGGGTCGTGAGGGTGAGACGAAGACGAGAAAATTGGGCTTAGGTAAGTTGGACAGGGTAATCTGGGTTTGAGAGGCAAATCGGTCCATGTGATAGGGTTCACGCAGACTGATTTGCCTCTCAAACCCAGATTACCCTATTGGGGAATGAGGGAAAGACTAAATAGGGTTGGGAAGTTTCACGTAAGAGGGAAGGTATAGGGCCATAGGAAAAGGTGTAAAAGACAAAACATCACATACCTGAGAGATAAAGTCTGAAAAGACCAATGATAGACAAAATGAATCATCATGTAGTGAACAGGAAGGTGTGGCAAACTCTTGGTGGGGAAACAAATGATTAAAATCGTCAACAGCCTGCCCCGGCCCGACATTCTCAGGAGGATGTGGGGCAGAAGAAGGTGAGAGAGGTTGGCTCATATACTGCTCAATCTCCCGGCGAATGAGCGATGATATATCCCTCGACATGGTGACTGTAACTTCAGAATTCATAAGTGGGAAACACAAGGAAGTAATGCTTTACTAAAATATTAACTCCACATCATGAAGTATTGGAAATAAAGTTAAGAAAAAAAAACGCTTCAAGGTAACTGAATAACGTAAAAAAGAACATCTGAACGCGACAGCTGCCAAACGAGAAGTGATAGTTCGGTAGTGGTGTGTAGAGGGAGTCACTTGCTTCACGCGATAGTAGTGCTCTCCTATTGGTGGAGAGGTGGCGCATGATAATTTGCATGAGAGACGTGTTGGAACTTTGGATTCCAACAGAGTGAGGATGAAGACTTGTGGCATGTGTTTCTGAAAAAAGTTTGCATATAGAGGGCAGCACAAAACGAGAAAAGCTAATATTGTGAGTGGAGGGAGAGTATCTTATTGGAATAATCCTTGTAATAAAAAATATGTTATTAAATATTTTAATTAATAATGTTAATGAATAAAATACAGCTTGCTTATAAAACACATAAAAACTAGTGGTTTGTTTAATGTATTAAAATAAATTCACTCTTTTCTGAAAAGTGTGACACCAGTTAATGCAAAAACTTTATATAATTCTCCTTAACAAATAGTTCTGACAGTATTTACCCAAACAAACGTAATAACTTATATAAAAAATTAACTTATATAGAAATTCGTAAGTCACTAAGCAGCTATGATTAAAATGTAAGCATTGTTATTATAAAAATATATTAAATTGAAAAATGAGAATTTACCTCTTCAGAGCTTGTTCTCGCATATCAACCACTGGCTCTCTACAATAGATATGGAAAGATTATTTAGCCTCAGTAATACCTACTCCAAAGCATATTAATAAAATTATTTATACTTGACTATATATGAGTAAAAACAAAAACCAGTGAAATAAGTTTGGTTTGGTTTGAATTTCCACTGAAGTGTATAATTATTAGTCATAAATTAAAGCTGAAATAACGAACTATTGTTCACAAACTACACAGTAACAACGTTATTATTCCAGCCAAATTTTGCTCAAAATAATAAAAGAAGTCAAGGAGATCTTGTCAGAGTTTATAAAATTTGGAATGACAAAGATTTGTGATATATTTGAGCTCAGAACCGTAGCTAACCAGCCATGAGTTGCGTATGACTTGTACCATATTCTACATTTTTAATTCCATTGATTTTATAAATTAATATAGTATTCAGTAAAGTATCAGGTTCCTGGTTCAGTATTGTCACATGGTCGTTTATATGCTGTTTATCCGCAAAAAAGAGAATACGATAATTATTTATATGGTTTGAATGTCGCGCAAATTTACATGAGGGCTATCTGTGCTAGTCATCTTTAATTTAGCAGTAAAAGACCCCAACTCTTTGGGCTACTCTTTTACCAATGTATAATGGGATTGACCATCACACTATAATGCCCCCACAGCTGAAAGGGTGAGCACGTTTGGTGGGACAGGAATTTCAAACCTCGACCCTCAGACTGCTATTCAAGTGCCCTAACCACCTGGCCACGTCGGGCCAGGTGGAATAAGATAACCAGTATCAAAGTTGCTTTAGAAACCACATTTTTCTACCCATGAGAACATTACAATACCACTAGTGTAACAATTTAGCAGTAAAAGACCCCAACTCTTTGGGCTACTCTTTTACCAATGAATAATGGGATTGACCATCACACTATAATGCCCCCACAGCTGAAAGGGTGAGCACGTTTGGTGGACAGGAATTTCAAACCTCGACCGTCAGACTGCTAGTCAAGTGCCCTAACCACCTGACCATGTCGGGCCAGGTGGAATAAGATAACAATATCAAAGTTGCTTTAGAAACCACATTTTTCTACCCATGAGAACATTACAATACCACTAGTGTAACATGGGATTATTTAAATGGTGCTCTGATTTGCTTGGTCCAAAAATTACATTGACTTCCTGCAAGGCTACATGGTTAGAAAATAAACACACAATTAAGAAAGCCAGAATTTCATTAGACTAACATGAAAAAAAAATATCATGCCTGTACTATTAATAAAGTAGTTTTTGAACACTTTTACTTTTCCTTTGTTGTATTGCTATGGGACAGGATGGGTGACATCCGTGGTGTGTCTGAATGTCCATTTTGAATAACTGCAGCTGATGATCCAGACAGAACATGATCAGTCTGCTGTAAATATAAAATGTATATAATAGTCATCTCAATTAGGAATATCAGGATAAGGATATATCGCCTATTGTCAGTTCAATTTCAATTTGCATAGAAAAAAATCAAGGAATATAAAGGTGTAGCAATTCAAAACATTTCAAACAAGATTTCTAAAATTTCAAAGGGATTTTATGTAAATTCAAAATTAATAAAGAATACTAGCTTAAGAATGCCAGTTATCACCTTTGATTGTATAATTCTTTGGCAAATGTGTTTTTCTAATTCAGCAAATGAGCCACATTATACTTTAAGTGCATTACAATAAGTAACTTATGAAGCATGTAAGCAAAAATAGTTTCATTTTACTTATTTGACAAATATATTTCAAGCCCCATGTTATTTGATTGTTAACATTTTGAAATTAAAAATGGTTATTCTAACCGTAAAAACACAATTATAAATCATCTGCATTTATAGAAACATAATGTTAGTCTTTTTTTCTCCTTAAATAAATATACTACAAATATTTTCTAACTTTTAGGCATAGCTGTAATTTTTCTCAGTAGCATCTTTGAAACAAAAAATTTTCAAATTTTGTTCAATATTTTCCTGTTCTTTTACCCGTGTAAGTTCATAATTTAATTTTTGAAACAAATACTGGCAAAAGATGAAAACTTAAGAATGTGAAATACAAAAAAATCACTGAAAGTCTAATAAAAATAAGAAATCTATAAATTATCTCACATCTATCTTGTTTTAGGATTTGTAATAATTTCTACATCAAAGTTCCAAGTTGAATACTTAAGAATGTGAAATACAAAAAAATCACTGAAAGTCTAATAAAAAATAAGAAATCTATAAATTATCTCACATCTATCTTGTTTTAGGATTTGTAATAATTTCTACATCAAAGTTCCAAGTTGAATACCAATATTTTAGCCATAACAAAATATGGAATACTTTGTATCGTTAAGAAGGTTGTGATGAATTATACCTTTTTTAACATATATAGTCATTTCAAGTATTCTTCAGTTGAAAGTATGGAAAGCCAATTTAATCAGTGTTGCAGAACATCAGAGAACAGACTCAAGAAACTTATGGACATTTTTACAACAGCTAAAAAATGTTCCCACCATCATGAAGGATGGTTCATGCAACATTTCTGTCAGGTGATAGATGCACTTTTGTTCAACTTCAAGCCATGCATACAGGTTTGGGAGTCCCTTGCTGAGACAAGAAACTGGATAAAACAGGTTTGGGAGTCCCTTGCTGAGACAGGAAGCTGGACACACAATGCTGATGTAATAGAATTTTTGGCAGTTTGGAAAAACAACTCTTTTTAGGGAAATCAATTTTATTTGAAAATGACTCATTCACAACCCTACAGCTGGGCCAAATAGTATGGCTTTCTGTACTTTTATAGTATGCTTGTTTAAAACTTTCTTTAGATTGGATAATAGCCAATCACAGTGTAAGCTATCAGTGTGTGATGTACACTTCATTTCCATATAATAATTACATTTTTCCCGAATTATTTACACCACAGTATCTGTATATAACTTTGAGTTAATAGTAAATAAGTAATTAGTTACAACGTTATTTTACACGTGAAATAACTTAATAAGTACTACCATAATATTGCCTTCTACTTTCACAAGTTCATCAGATTCAGGTTTATACGGTTTCATTTTTGAAAGCTCCTCTTCATAGTAAGCTTTAAGACGAGAAACATCATCTTGGAGCTTAGCTTTGGATTCTTGTTCTTTTTTGTATTTATCCTGAAGATTGTTCATTCTTTCATCATATTCCTGTTACACACACAAAGTAATTTTTTTATTTCGAAATGAACTTACCCAAGTTTTAGTCTGAGATACAAAACTACCCTATGTTGTATATACAAGACTGTTAAGTTTAAGTTATTATTTAGTGATTTAATATTTAATTATGATTTAGTTTCCATAACAATAGTGTGAAAAGGTAGTATTTTAAAAGCAATTATTTTGACAAGTTTCGTCACGTAACTCTGTGCAAGTCGCATGTTGTGTGTATAGTTTAATTGTTGTACTAGGCTTTTGTAATATTGTTGATGTCATTTAACTAGAAGCTTCTAAGTTTTTCTCAATATGTTTAATATTGTTGTTACTAGAGGGCTAGATAGTTCTAGATTTTTCTGTTGCATGTTATAAATATGTGCAAAAAAGTTAAGTAAGAAAGAAAGTTAGTGAAAGTATAAGTGAAGTTAGACGGTGTGATTTTCAGTTTAGCTGTAATGGACGATTCCTAAAGTGAAAGTTTCACAGCTTGTATTGTAATAACAGATAGTGTAGAATAATTCATCTTGTCATTTGGGTTCTAAAGTAACTGAACCAGCTTGTGTGGGCTTTTGACAAAAAAAATAGAATTATTTAAAGCTCTAGATTCAACTGTGGTAAACAATAGTGTAGTGAATTTTGTTGGTACATACGTTTGACTTGTTTTGAATATATTATTTGAAAACAAGTGGGTTGTGTGCTGTCTGTTTAATGTTGAAAATTATCAACAACAAGTCACAGATACCTACTGTAAAAAATCCATTGCCCTATAAAACCTGACACTCTAAAATATCTTACAAATAACAAAATTAAAAAAAGGAGTTAGAATCCCTTAAAGTTACAAAATAATTTTCAAGATTAAAAACGCAACTATTAAATTTCATGTCTGTACTTTAATATATTTTTGTTGGCTATTACATAGTATAAATTTTCAGCTTGTTTAGTTTTATATGATGATCTAAAGCTGAAGAAATAACCTGATAAAATATCTCTTATCTAGGTCTCAAATTAATGTATAAGATTTTTTTGTTTGAAAAATTCCTTGTTTTTATTCAATATGTTATTTTAACTGTAAAAGCATATTAGTAGAACTTCCAGTTCAAGTTTAAACTGTACTTGACAAATACACTGTGTCAGCTTCAGATATCAAAAAGGTGGTGTTTTTGTAGAAGCATTTTCTTTCTCTTTCTCATGAAACTTATTGTACATTACAATACAAATGAATATTAATACAACATATTGGGACAACAATGGATCTATTTTCGGATTTTATTTTAATAATCTTATTTTTAAAGCTATTATGTTTACTATATAACTGAAGACAAAAAAAAACAAACAGTAAAACCGAAGCTAGCTGAAATTTTGATAACAGATTATAAGATAACTTTTGGGAATTTTGATGAAAGGATATCCATTTTGAAAGTTTTACATCAAGGGCATCTTTGTATTCAAATAGGAAGAAAAACAATTTTTTTCAAAATTTGGGCAAAAACATGGGCTATATCTCAGCTGTCCCATCCTCTTAAATTAAACTAAAAGTATTAAATAAATAAATAAAACAAAAATCTTAAAGCCAGCCCTTATTTTAGGCCTAACAAGCTTATTAGTATACATCATCCTTACCAACCAATTAAGACAGGTAGAGGATGACCAGATGTGGTAGCATGGACTATAACAATGTGATAAGACTTCAAAACTGTCTTAATATGTGACCTAGCAAATATGTGTATAATATGATTGTTTGTAGAAAAATCTAATTTGATTGTTTTCTACAAGATAGTTAAAAAATTCTAATTTGCTGATAAAATGCAAAGAAAATTATTTTTATCTTAGATTACATAAATCTGCAATAATTTAATATCACACCTTTAGAAGATTTTCAGCCCCATACTTGTCTTCCTCATCTGTTTTAACTATAAAAAAGTTATATTTTAAATCATCATACAAAAATAACAATGTAAATTTAACCTTCATAATCACAATAGACTTTCATTAAGCTTTAGTCAGTAACATACTGAATCAATAATGTACTTTTAATGTACTGAATCACATATTATGTAAGATGATGAAGTCTTATTATAAAACTATATGAACCTCTCTTTAAAATGAAATGATGATATCCAAAGGATTCACAAACACCATGCAGAAATTAATTGGTTTCTCCATAATATATATACATATATATGAACACACACACACACACACTAAAGTAATTTCACTGATAAGCAATACACAACTACTTAAGTTCTTAAAAGTGAAATATTTTCATTTAAAATTATATTTGAATTGCAGCATTTCTTGCTAAATATTCTAAGCTGTATATTTCAACTGATTGTCATGTAAACTTACTCATATAGACATATTATATGGGAAATACTTTTTGAAAATAGTGAATTATTTATTACACAGAATAACGACATCTATAATTTAAATGACAACTTAAGATTCAAGTTTTAACAAAAATTTATGTAAAAAATGAAGGAACATTAGCAAGTAAAGAAATAAGCTATCATAGAATATACTACAATAAAAGCTACAGAAATAAGGTTCTTCAACACATATTACACTATAATTTACAAAAATAAGTTACAACAACACACACTAAAGCAGAATTTTTCAACCACTGGCCTGCGAACAGACACTAGTCCATTAGAGCCACCTTGCCGGTCCATGGACTTTCACAAAAACTGACAGATATTCATATGTAAATCATAATGGCTTTTCACTGTACTTGTATTTTATTGGTCCACCACAGTTTAGGTAGTCAGGGAGCTGGTCCCTGGTACCAAAAAGGTTGAGAAATACTGTACTATAAACAACAGAAGCATACACTATGCCATAAGTTACAGAAATAAATTACCACTGCATGTATTATAAAAAGCATTCCAGTTTTTAATACAAGAGTATTTCAATGAAAATATTAAAAACTCACGAATAGCGACATCAGGAGGCTGCTCATTGAGTAGAGTCTTAAGTCGCTGGATTTCTTCCTGGTATTCCCGTAACAAGGCATCTTTGGGGTCTTCATTGATTTGGGGTTTATTTTGGATGTTCTTTGCTCTGTTAGCATATCTTAAGGTACTCAGAGTCTCATCATAGTTGTTGTCTGCTGGTGATAAGCAGGCAACCATTAAGGTTTTAGTATTCCCCCCCAAAGAATCTTGCAACAGCCTGGTTAACTTAGAATCCCTGTAAGGAATATGGTTAGACTTGCCATCCACAAGAGCTGAAATAACGTTTCCCAGTGCTGAAAGTGAAAGGTTAATCTTCGTAGCCTCCTTCAGTCGATCCCCAGTAGCTCCTAGATGCAAAATCAAAAACAAGAAAGAGAGAAAATGCTATGAAAAATAAAAGCTATATCAGAAGAACCTGGGAGTCTTTTTAATAGTTCAAAATGTATTACCATTCACATCAGAAAACAAGTTTAAATTACCCTACATACGAATTAATGATCCCATTATGCATAAGTTTTTAAAAATGTGGAAAAAACAAGATTCTGAATACAAATAAACAGATTATTTTTTTACAATCAACAAGCTCAAGTGGTAAGCATGACATCAATATAATGTTTATGTATGCATCATTGTTTATTAGTAGAGGTTTTGTTATTGCACCTGATCAACATGTTCACACATACATGACGTATAATCTGATTTGATACTTAACCGGATGACTAATCTGTCCTCGTACATTATATAATGGTTTTTGTGCATCTAGACTGCGTAGACTGCATGGTGAGTACTGAAGTCCATTACATAGAGATAGCTTTGTAAAGACATGGAAAAGCAATGTATTTAATTGTTGTGTGTGTTATATGTTACCAGTGATATGAGATGTTTTCAACGTTGTTTTTATAGTTTTAAAACCATGGCTTTATCTAAACTATTACTTACAGTGTTTCCACATATAACTGGCAAACTGCTGTTTTGATGACGGATACCATGATTTACTGTTTTCAATCATGGTTTTTTGATAAAACAGAAAGATGGAAAACATCTCACCTGTTTTACTTTGACGCTCGCTTCCTGCTAAATCTACTAAGTTGAGTTTTCCCTGACGAATATGTTGATCCCCTTCAACCTTTGTATCCATCATTTCCAGGTGAATAGTGAAGATAGAGTGGCTGCGAGAGGAATCTGCATTCATCAGTGTAGCACCTACTGATCGGTTTTTCCAGCCCTGCTCCATCACTAACTCACATTCTTGTACATTATGCACGGGATGAAGAGAAAGTCCTATACGGTTAAAACACAAACTATATATAACTGTTAACTTGCGATTTTTGTTAATACTTTTAAGGACTTGCATGTTTAATAAAGATACTGACTTTATTTAAGATTTACTTGAATCAGCAGTTCTCTAAACTAAACATGACTGGTTGGAACCTCTTAAGTAAATGGGCAGCTGTTTGTGTTAGTAATTACTAACCCTAGTATTTATACCTCATTTAAACAAATTCAGAAAAGTGAACATTCTCTAAAAAAGGGTTTATTTCTGGGAAGTTCTGTATGGAAAAAATTTTCAGATTGTGCGCTTTAGTCATACACAACTCATTGCATCAAAATGATTCAATGTACAGAGCTCAAAATTTTCATAACGTTTACTGATATAGACTGTAATGTTTTTATATATATTAAAAGTGGTATCATTTATTGAAAAAATAATGGTTTTTAAAAACTTCAGTGTCTCCGTACTATGTTTAAAAATTACATCAATAATGATACAATCAAACCCTCATGTACAGTCCTAGTGAAAGTTGTGTTCTTGTTGTGAGGAGGGTACTTTTATTTACTGTTCTATTAAAAAGAAATGGTCGTTGCAGATACCTTCATTATTTTTCTAACTGTCTGAATCTTGAATACTCAAAGTGTGAAATCTTTTATGGGATTTGATGCCTTCATTACTTTTTCTAACTGTCTGAATCTTGAATACTCAAAGTGTGAAATCTTTTATGGAATTTGATACCTTCATTATTTTTCTAACTGTCTGAATCTTGAATACTCAAAGTGTGAAATCTTTTATGGAATTTGATACCTTCATTATTTTTCTAACTGTCTGAATCTTGAATACTCAAAGTGCGAAATCTTTTAGGGAATTTTGTTTGTGGTCCATTCAATAGATGTTGCAGGAGTTTTGGTTACATACATAGATACTTACTAAAATGCTACTTCAATTATAGAAAGATAATACATGAAATTTAATAAACAAAAGCTTGAAGAACAGGAACAAAAGCATAAATTGTTTGATAAGCCACAAATGTTATAATTTTCTTATACTGAAAATGTGTTTCTGATAGGTACTTATCTCTTCTCATAAGATTAGCTATTCTCGTTCAGTGCTGCCCTCTATAAGCGAACTTTTTCTTTATGCATGCCACAAGCTATGCACTCCCCCTTGCACTCTCTCATGCAAATCATCATGCGTCATCTCTTAACCAATAGTAGCATGATATGCTCATGTGATGCATGTGACTACCTCTACACTTCTCTACCAAACCTTCACTTCGAAGTTTGGCAGAAGGTGTGAGCACTGGAGAAGTGGGGAGGAAGGGTGGGATGGAGGTAAGTACCTATTGGAAATACATTTTCTGTATAGGAAAATTATACCTTCCAATACAGTACTTACCTCCTCTCACAATATTAGCTAAAACCCCACATTGAGAATGAGGAGGGACTGGTGAGAGGAAACAAAGGAAGTGCCCCTGAAAGCATCTAAAGGATACCCCTGACACTGAGAGATGTAGGTCCAAAGATCAGAAGAGGGGAACTGCACCACTTCTGAGTCAGGTATATTCTTCACCCATGTGTAAATTGTGTAATGGGCAGAAATTGTAAGATGTAGAGTGGCTAGAGCGTGGCAGACAGTACTCAGTAAATTAACTACATTTAAAACCTCCTCGTGGGGTACTGACATCTACACGAGGGTAGGATGACAATCATACCATCTTTACCTCATACCCAAGAATCAGGGATTAAGACTCGCACCGATTTATTGATCCAGGAATTGACATCTGGTATTGAAAGGATGTCTATCACATGGAATTAACTCCCCTAACCAAGGCACAGAATGGCACCATCCAAAGGCAATAACATCCCTGTAAGAAGAAAATGAGGGATAGTCAAGGATAGTGCTCGAACCATCCCATGTACTACCACTGTGACTAAAGACACAGACACAGAAATTGGGAAGGAAGGGCAAAACAACCCAATATTATGAAAAGCAATTCCACAGCATAATGTGACATACAAAGTCAGTCCAACTGTATTACAAGTGCATGCAAATATGAATTCTTGCAGCTAAAACATTGTGATCTCATTTGCTTCTATTGGTCAATATTTGTTAAGTAATAATGGTACTTTTGAAAATGTTTGTACCAGTCTTAAATGAACATATATTTAATAATAATAACATGAATAAATTAAGTTGATCTTTTAGTATTACAAATAAAACTTATCGTCCTATGGAAACCATGTATCAAATGACAGTGGCTTAATGATATCATATACATGAAATTTAGCCAATAAAAGTTCAATCAGTACAGAATACTTGTAAGATGTTAATCTTTTGTTGTTATTTTTAGCTAAGAATATCAGTGGAGTTTGTTATCATAATTAAAATCAGTTTCTAAGATGCAACAGAAATTTCATAGTTTTGTTTTCCTTGAGATTACCTTCAAGGTTTTTATAAAATGACCTAGGTCTGAGATTTTAATGTACAGCTGTACAAACACTGGTGAAATATGTTGTAGTAGTAACGTGCACACATGTTGTAATATATCAGAACATTAAAAAATATGCATTGATTAGGGCTTGAACTCAAGACCTTCAGCTCAAACTTGTACTTTGTAATGACTGTTCCTCCATCTGAACTACCATGACTTTAGTCCTAAGCAGATAACTCCAATCCTGACTGTTATGGTATCTTTCAATTGTGATATGTTTATAGTACTAAACACATCTTATATGATGTAATAAATATATCTTATATGATCTATTAGACTACCACACATGATGTAATGAATACATCTTATATGATCTACCAGACTATCATACATACTGGAGGCTAAGCCTAGCTTGTAAGACTTAGTATTTATGATATAAAACTCTTTGAGCTGTATTAGTGAATGTTGGACAGACAAGCAGCTTAAATTGTTATTAGTGGAATTAACTCACCCGAAACATAAACACCTTTCTCTGGATGTTCTTTGAGCTCCAGTTTTTTCTTATGATCTTTTGCTGACAAATCTCTGATTTCTTCATTGTAAATTTCCAAGAAAGAAGCATGGACAAGATATTTTGTATTTTCAGCTGCTGCTATTGCTTCAAAAATATGCTCAAAAGCTCGTGGAATTATTCCCCGCTGAGTTGATGGATTGGTGATTCCCTGCATTGTGAAAGACTTGCCACAACCTGTCTGTCCATAGGCAAATACTGTTCCATTGTATCCCTCTGTAACACTCTGAAATATAAAACATATGACACTGTCTTTAATCTTGGACTTCTTGTTTTAAACATCTGGTGAAAACTGAAGAAATAATACAAACAAAATCTTGAACACTTAGCTAAACTTCAAGGTTTTTGTACTATTTTACATTTCCTCACCATGTTCACTTTCTATCCCAAGTCCAGCCATTTTAAATCATACCAAAAAAAATTCAAAATATTCTTTCCAATTATATAAACAGTGTAATAATATTTTGGTTGGCCAATTCAAAGTGCATCAAATATCAATGTTACAGATGAACCTAAGTTACTACTTAATGAGATCTGACTAAGTATTATCTAAATAGTTTGTAACTAAACCATATCTCTCAGATTATTTTTATTTTATTTTTTACTGCCATTACCCATAATACTTCATAAATAAGTACAATAATTATTGGAAGTTTTATGACACACAAAGATAAAGAAATTACTTTTATTTTTCATTCAGTAAAGTTAGAATTCATGTGATAACTTTGATGTATATAGTTATGTCTTAAACTGCAATAGGCTGGGTGAATTAAATAGGATCTGCTTATCCCAAATCAGTGGAAAAATTCAAAGCAATTGAGGATTTCTAACATTTGATATGATAAACAGCTAACTTTTTGTTTTATATTTTGGTACAGTTGAAAGTAAATGCAATTAAAACATTTACAGAGACCAAATGCACTTTTTGAGAAAGAAACTAAAAAAACAAAAAAAAAGAGAAAATAAGTGAGGTTGGAAACTTATGCTTTTGGTATCCTTACGAACAATTTTCATTATCTAAAATACATGTAATTTCTTCTAATGCATACTGTGGAATTCATTAAGTACCTCATGTACATTCTATCAATTAATATCAATAAAAAAGCCTTTGAACTATTCTAAATACAAATAATTACAGACACTGATCAAATTACTTGTAAAATAACAGTTAAATAGCTTAATTCCTTAATATCTACTAGATCCAATACATTTTAAATTAAAAAAATATGTCAATATTAAATCTTGGCACTAATAAGTGGTGGTGGTTATACTTTATACACATTTACTTAAACAAATAATGTTAAGTTTGTCACAAAATCCACATGTGTTTGGAATTGGATATAGCAGATCTAGTGTGGGTTAAATATTACTACATTTTATTTCTTACTTTCATTTATAGTCTTTAGGATTTCAAAAATTATTTGTTTCAATGATATACAAATATTTACTATTTATCAAACTAAAACATCATATAGCTGCAGTCCTGTGTATGATGTGACTAAAAGTACACAGAAAACATGATTTATCTAGCTGCAGTATTTCATGACTATAAGTACATGGAAACATGACTATCTAGTTGCTGTATAATTTCATGACTATAAATACATGGAACATGACTTTCTAGTTGCTGTATAATTTCATGACTAAGTACATAGAAACATGACTATCTAGTTGCTGTATAATCTCATGACTATAAGCACATGGTAACATGACTATCCGTTGCTGCATAATTTCTCATGTTTCCATGTACTTATAGTCATCTATGTATTTGCTGTATAATTTCATAACTATAAGTACATGGGAACATGACTATATAGTTGCTGCATAATTTCATGACTAAAAGTACATGGGAATATGAGTATCTAGTTGCTGTATAATTTCATGACTATAAGCACATGGAAACATCACTATCTAGTTGCTGCATAATTTCATGACTATAAGTATATGGAAACGACTATCTAGTTGCTGTAAAATTTCATGACTAAGTACATGGAAATATGACTATCTAGTTGCTGTATAATCTTATGACTATAAGTACATGGAAACATGACTATCTAGTTGCTGCATAATTTCATGATTATAAGTACATGGAAACATGGTTATCTATTGCTGTATACTTTCATGACTATAAGTACATGGAAACATGACTATGTAGTTGCTGTATAATTTCATAACTATAAGTACATGGGAACATGACTATGTAGTTGCTGTATAATTACATGACTGTAAGTACATGGAAACATGACTATCTAGTTGCTGCATAATTTGATGACTATAAGTACATGGAAACATGACTATCTAGTTGCTGCATAATTTCATGACTATAAGTACATGGAAACATGACTATCTAGTTGCTGCATAATTTCATGACTAAAAGTACATGGAAACATGACTATCTAGTTGCTGCATAATTTCATGACTAAAAGTACATGGAAACATGACTATCTAGTTGCTGTATAATTTCATGACTATAAGTACATGGTAACATGACTATTTGTTGCTGCATAATTTCATGACTATAAGTACGTGGAAACATGACTATCTAGTTGCTGCATAATTTCATGACTATAAGTACATGTAAACATGACTATATAGTTGCTGCATAATTTCATGACTAAAAGTACATGGGAATATGAGTATCTAGTTGCTGCATAATTACATGACTATAAGCACATGGTAACATGACTATCTAGTTGCTGTATAATTTCATGACTATAAGTACGTGGAAACATGACTATCTAGTTGCTGCATAATTTCATGACTATAAGTACATGGAAACATGACTATATAGTTGCTGCATAATTTCATGACTATAAGTACATGGAAACATGACTATATAGTTGCTGCATAATTTCATGACTAAAAGTACATGGGAACATGAGTATCTAGTTGCTGTATAATTTCATGACTATAAGCACATGGAAACATGACTATGTAGTTGCTGTATAATTTCATGACTATAAGTACATGGAAACATGACTATCTAGTTGCTGAATAATTTCATGACTATAAGTACATGGAAACATGACTATATAGTTGCTGCATAATTTCATGACTATAATTACATGGAAACATGACTATATAGTTGCTGCATAATTTCATGACTATAAGCACATGGTAACATGACTATCTAGTTGCTGTATAATTTCATGACTATAAGTAC